CCCCCCCCGCCCCCGCCCCCAGGTGCTGACACCGTGGCCACGGACCCGAGCCAGCGCTGAGCTCTGACGGTGCACGTGCCAGGCCGTCCTGGAAACTGGACCCGTAGGCGCTAATGGAGTCTCCTAACAAAGGCGCGGGAGCCGTTGACCCATTGCTTACAGAGCTGGGCCGTGGGCACAGAGTTCGCGTCTGTAGCTAGTCGAGAGCGGAGCCGGGACTCAGACCCAGGGTTCGACTCCTGCCTCTGCCTCTCCCCACCGAACAGCTCGCCTCTCCTGCAATGGCAACCAGCCTGATCTTGGGATCTATTAGGCGGAACCACATGAAACTGCTGATGTTTGAGACCTACAAAAAATGGTGATTTCATGTGATTCAACTTGTTAAAAAAAAAAAAAAAAAAAAAACCTGAGATTTGAAGCAGGTGCCTGAATGTTTGTCGCCAGATTCAGGTGGGGGTTTTCTAAGGTTCTGCTCCGTGAGGTTTGACTGTGCTCCCCAAGGACACTCCAGCTGTGGGTGAGCCAGGTGCACCCGGATGTGGGTGGCATCTTCTGAACAAAAGACTGCAGTCTGTCCTGAGATGGAAACCCCATTTGGGGGGTGAGAGCCACGCTACGCCATCTACGTGAGTCATCCAGCCAGACAAACCCACCACCAGGGACAGGCGCCGAGTGGGTGGCCTCACCCGCTGGCCGACAGAGCTCTGGGCAGGGACCTCTCCTGGCGGGCCACGTGGACTTCAGCGGCTGTTTCCCGGGCCTGTCCTGTTGCTCCTGGAACAGGTGCAAGGGAAGGCAGCCACCTGCTTGGCCTCGGGACTGTATGGTTGAGAAGCTCCCGTTACACGAGAGGTGGAGGGAAAGAGACCTTGACCTTTAGAGAGGGGACCATGCTCTGTCTCAGGGACTTGACCTTGGGGGAGAGCTGTGTTTCCCCAAGCCTAGCAGGTGTCGGTGGCTGGCTTTGTTCTCGCTTGATCTCCTGCACAGCTGCTGGCGAGCCTTCCCGGGCAGGGAGATGGAGCGTCAGGGGAGGCAGGAAGGAGCCCGGATGAAGCCTCAGCCCTGCCTGCCGGGTGGCCCTGGGTGAATCACTGCATGGTTCTCAGCTGCTCAAACCTTGGGTGGAAGCCAGCAGCCTGTTGTGGAACCGGGAGCCACAGAGGAGCAGTGGATGAGGGGGGACAGCCTTGACTAGAGTTGGTTCAAATTCAAGCTCTCCAATCAGCTTTATCAATAACAACGTTGATAAAGGGGGAAAAACCTGAGGTTAAAGCCCTTGGGGGGCAGCCTTGAGCTTTCTTTCTCCTGAAACAGGCCCCAGAAAGCTCTGCTCACAAGGGGAAGATGGATAAATTGGGCCAGTTAAGTTTAAGGACACGCAGTCATCGAGCACGCCCAGAGGAAAAGGCAGGCCGCCGGCTGGGACAAATAGTGGCCACGCACATCAACAGAACACTCACCTGCAGACTATGTAAAGAACTCCCAGAAACATAAGAAAAAGACAAACTACAGCCTCAATTAGGAAAAAAAAAAAAAGGGGGCAGAGACTTGAAAAGGTGCTTCTTGGACATACAGATGGCCAATAGCTTGGGAAGGGCCCAACCTCATTAGCTCTTCAGGGACATGCAGACTAAAACCAGGGACCCCCTCTGAAGCCCACCCCACCCCACCCCGAAAGGCTGAAAAAACAACACTGAGCTAGTCTATCCCAGGCCCACCGCCTCACCCACCCCTCCGTGGGCCAAGAGCCCGCCTCTCTTGCCTGTAGCACAGCAACAGCTTCCGCGGAGCCCCTCCTCTCATTACCTGTCTTCAGTCTCACGCTGCAGGGAGATGCTACTTTATAAATAGAAACCAGAATCCTCTCTCTCCTGCTCAAACCTTCCCACAACTCAGGATAGACCCCCAGGTCCCCATGCCCACCAGGCCCTTTAAGCTGTCTCTCTTCCTGGTGAGCTGTGCCTCGAGTGCCTCTGGAGATGCTGTTGCGGCCCAGGATCCCAGGGCCCCTCTGGTCCCCTCTGACTGCAGTCCTAGGTGGCCCTGCGACTCGCTTTGATGGGTCAAGTGTGGCAGGAAGTTCATGGGTCTTTCTGATCAGAGGCGTGAAGAGCCAGCGAGGGGTTCCTCTCTCACTGCTTGTGGCAGGCAGGGCGCACCCGGAGGGGCTGAGCGGCCCAGGCGTCAGGGGTGCGTCTCCGCAGCACACCCTCCTGCCAGCCCATCCCGATCCCGATCCCCGCACGCCCAGCTCGGCCTCGCCTTGGCATTCACCTCCGTCTCCTCCGCCCGCAGGGCCTTCTCCCTGTGCCTGTGCCCGTCCTAACTGTTCCTCTCAGCACACTGCTGTGCCTCGAGCTGCAAATTTCATTCGCTGTGCCCAACAGCATACTGAGTGCTGCAAACAAGCTGAGCGAGAGCAAGACAAACTAGCAGAGGTTCCATCCACGTCAAGTCAAACACAGGCAAAACTGACGTTTAGAGCCCGGCCAGTGTGGCTCAGTGTTTGAGTGTTGACCCCTGAACCAGGTCATGGTTCGATTCCCAGTCAGGGCACGTGCCCAGGTTTCAGGCTCGATCCCCAGTGGGGGCGCGCAGGAGGCAGCCGATCGATGACTCATCATTGATGCTTCTCTCCCCCCTTCCTCTCTGAAATCAGTAAAAACTAATGTTCAGTGAAGTCTATGTAGACCTCGATAAAACCAAAATGAAACAAAACGATCACAGATACCGAGACTGGTTTCCTGCAAGAAGGGGAGAGCTTGGTGGCTGGAGGGCTGGTGTGGGCGCTGGTAGGGGCTCCCTGACCAGTGGTGCTCACCAGAATGTTTCCTTTAACCCCTTTTTTTTCTTTTTAAAATATATCTTTATTGATTTCAGAGAGAGGAAAGGAGAGGGAGAAACATCGATGAGAGTGTCATGGATCAGCTGCCTCCTGCACGCCCCCTGCTGGGGATCAAGCCTGCAACCCGGGCATGTGCCCTGACCGGGAATCGAACCATAATCGCCTGGATCTTAGGTCGATGCTCAACCGCTGAGCCATGCCGGCCGGGCCTTCAACCCTTCTTTAAACCAGACTTGTGTGTCAAGTACAATTGACCCTCGGACAAGGGTTTGAACTGTGGGTCCCCTTTAGTTTTTCCAGTGAATACTGTACTTACTCTGACTTAACATCTCTGGAAGCTCAACTTTTCACATACAACTAAGCTGCCCGTTGGCAACCATCAGCTTGTTCTCTGCATCCACAGGTGTTTTCGTTTACTCACGTCAAACCATATGGTCTTTGTCTGACTCATCTCACTTAGCAGAACACCGTCCAGGCCCCTCCGTGCTATCACAAACGGCAAGACTTCCCTTTGTGGCTGAGGAATGCTCCTCTCTGTCCACTCCATCGGTGGACGCCTAGGTTGCTTTCGTATCTTTGCAATTGTAAATAATGCCACAATGAACATAGGGGTGAACACATCCTTTTAGTGTTTTCATTTTCTTTGGGCAAATGGTCATAAGTGAGTTATTGCTGGGTTGTATGCTATCTGCACTTGTATTTTTGAGAAACCTCCAGTGTTTCACAACCCCATGAGGACTTTCTCCACATCACCAGCACTTTTTTTTCTTGGTGATAGCTGTTCTGGCCAGTGTGAAGGGGACACCTCACTGTGTGGACACTTCTAATTACAGTCAATACATCTTTATTTATTGATTAATCCTCACCTGAGGATATTTTTTCCATTGCTTTTCAGAGAGTGGAAGAGGGAGAGAGAAACATCGACGTGGGAGAGACACACTGCCTGCCTCCTGCACACGCCTTGGCCAGGGCAGTGACTGAGCCTGCAACCGAGGTACATTCTCTTGGCCGCAATCGAACTCGGGACCCCTCAGTCCGCAGGCTGACGCTCTAATCACTGAGCCAAACAGGCCAGGGCAAGTCAGTACATCTTTAATCCTTGTTGCTGAAACGACATCACTGCATTGTTACTGGCACTGGGACAGCTTGGTCAACTGGTTATTTCCAAAGCTGGTTCCTCCTATTTCTCAAAAGGTCATGTAGATTAAGGGAGATGATAAAGCCTGATCCTACAAGGTTCCTTCCTTCCTGCTTTGTTCCAACGGCTATAAGTCCCTTTGCACATGTGCGGACTGGCAAGGGAATTCAAACTCCATGACCCAACTCACCTGGCCACTTGCAAAGTCTTCAGATTCTGAGCTCCACGCCCCTAGATGGACCCCAGCCCTCTTCCCAAGCTGCTTGTCTGGACCTGAGAGTTCTCAGCATGCCCGCTCTTCTGAACTGCCTTTCCTACTTAAACATCCACTTCTCTAGGGGCGAGGCCTTGCTTATTTTTGTCCTGAAATGCCAGCTGGCGTATTTCAAGTGATAATGAGGCATTCACCCATTTTGCTCCCTTCTTGTATGCACAGACGCACATGTATGCCAACACTGTGCAGCAAGGCAGACCTGCATGGCAGGGCTCCTGAGTCCACTTGATCTGGCTGTTAGTCGGCTGTAACATGACAGGTGATCGCTGGCCTACACTGCACAGAGCACGCTCATGTTTTATGCACATTTTAGGAGTGCATGGTGGCTCTCAAAGCAACATGAGCAAACTCACGAATACAGAAGAAAAACATGACGCTGGACTGCATTTCATCCAGGATTAGCTCCCCTGTAAACCACAGCACAGTCCACAGAGAATTATACCTAAGTGTTTATTTACTAACTAGTAAGTAAAGGCACCTTGCACCTTACAGGCTTTCCACACCTCTCCTCAGCCTCAGGAGGAAACTCTGTATTACTTGTTAATATGTAGGTAACTAGAAACAGATCTGGCTCTTTCCCATGTGAATTTTACAACTGGTTGGGTGTTTATTTCAGAACCTAAGTTTAAAATATGGTTTCATTTCTACCCAAAGTGATTGATGGACATTAATCTTCACTTCAAGGGCCGATGATGTGCAGGTCTGTAAAGAAAGAGAGATTTAAAGTGGAGTTTCCACAAGAAAAATTACACCAAGAATACTGTATCACTACAAATTTTATTCAGAAACCCATCTTTGTTTTTTTTAAATTGTTTTTTAAAAAAAATTCCCATTATGAACTGGTTTGGTCAATCAACTACAACACTTTCTAGCAGACATACGGTAAAAATGGCCTGGCTCAGAATCGCCCAGATCGCTCACGATCTCGTGATCGCCTCCTGTCACGTTCCCGTCCCCCACCGCCTCCACCTCCGCCTCCGCCACCGCCACGGCCACGGTCTCGAGACCGAGAGCGACGCTCCCGGGACCGGGACCTGGATCGATGCCTGAAATCAAGGAAAATAAATAAAACCTTGGCACCCAAATGAAAACATGCAACATAAAATCACAGTGACTAACACTTTCAAATACTGTACCCCACAGACTTGCAGACATTAATAAAAAAGATGAGCCCTGACTTCAGATGTAAACTGGGTAAAAGGGCCTCTCAGAATTGAGAGGTGCAGTGTCCCTTGGGTGGATTTCTGGATGGGGAGGGCAGGGTTCTTTCCTCTCCTACTCTTATTTTTGTTGACAACAGGACAGAATCACAAACAACGTGAGCATTTCCTAACATACGTTCAACAGGACAGGGGCGAAAAGCCCTCTGGGGTCAGAACTCAATCTTCATAGGACAAGTGACTCATTATACTTGTCCCTCTGACACCTGGGTTCTCTGTTTGTGACACGCACGCCTGCATTTAAACACCAGAATCAGACAGACAAGACTGTTGGTCTTGCTGGAGGTCCAGAGGAGAGCGAGTGCCAACCCACCGAACCCAGAGAAACCAAGGCACCCAAGGGGAAGCGAGGCATGTGGAGGAGGTGACGACGCTCGACTGGGAGAACACAGTGCACAGGGGAGGATCTGAACTGCCTCCCACTCCCCATTTCCTTAGTGGGTCAGAGGTTCGACCTCTACTTAGGCACGAAGCGGTGTGCACAGAACATTCTTCAAGGAGCACACCTTATATTTTAAAATGTGTTCTACATTCTAAACAGTGCCTTTTAAAGAGAAATGACATTTAGGCCAAGCTTTACTTAAAAACAAAAAAACAAAAAAATTGGGGAGGGGGCAAAGCTCACGCGCGACCCCAAGGCTAAGCAGCGCGGGGCACACACTCACTTCTTGCGCCGGCGCCCGTACAGCTCCCGCCGCAGCTCTCTGGAAATGGGCTTCAGATGCATGAAGTTGCAGAAGCCGCCTCTTGTACACTCTCTGCAGAGAGAGCCAGGCGACATCACACGGCACACCGCACACCCCCGCCTGCCGCCCTCCCTCCCCCCGCGGTCTGCCCAAACCTACCCCATCTCGTACTGGCGGCAACAGGCTTCCCGGAAGTCGGTCACAGGGGAGAGCTCAGCGTGGATGGGCTGCCCGTTGAACCAGCGGTTGTTCAAGTCAATCACAGCTTTCTCCGCATCTTCTTCACGGCGAAACTGAAAAGACACCACAAAAATGCTCGCCGCCACACTCTTAACACATTCTCAATCACCGATCCAAACACAGGTTGTGTGCTCACGCCAGTCAAGTAGTTAAGGTGGAATGATGTAGCACAATTAAAGTCAGACTTCTATTTACAATTAGATTAATCTTGCGATGGTCCAAGATCATGCCAAATATGTTGGTTTTCCAATTCAATTGGTTAAAAGCAAATATAATGATTTGTGTAGACAAAAAACTTCATTAAAAAAAGGAAAAAAGAAACCAAATAAACCAACTTCTCCCCAGTTCAAACAGCCTCTACAAAGGTGCCCGACGTGAGGAAGACGTGGGACCGGGACAGCCTGCCACCCTCCCCACACCCATAGGCCAGACAGCACGTGCGTGTCATTAGCTCCGAGCCCTCCCCGCACTCCTTACTCTCTCCCCGCTGCCAGGAGGCAGAGCGCCCGCCTGCCATCTCTGCTTACCTTCACATACACATTTCCCACGAGGTGATCGCCCAGGTTGTCGCAGACGTTCATCTCCTCAACCTCCCCATACTTCTCCTCCATCTCCGTAAAAACCTCCTGGAAGAAGAGCGGCCATTTAGGGTCACGATAACGTTAAAGATAAAAGGCCAACTGAACACACAGAGTGTTAAATATTTGTATTAGTACAGAAATTTTCAATTCCTCCCAAATTGATAAAAAGGTGAACAGGTCTGTTGGTTTCAGATTGTCAGTATCTCACCTCAAAGAACTCATCATAGTGCTCCTGCATCTCGACATCACTCACGGCACCTGTAAGCAACAGACATCTCGCTGGTTAGGGCAGGGCCGTGACCAAGAGACCCTCGTGCTTAAATCACCTGCTACAGTGACACACATCAGATTTTCTAGAGAGAGACCCCGACAGAAGCGCGTTCTACTGGAGCAGACGAGACTGCATCACACGGCCAATTGGTAAAATCTTAGTGTGGTAAGACTTTTAAATGCCCCATGACAGTCTCCATTCTGGCTATTAAAATCACAAGTTTTAATCAGCATCAAAGAGCCACATTTTCAGAAAGTATAAGGAAAGAGTTGACTCTCAAAAAAAATTTTTAAGTGAAAAATTTCTTTTTAAGATTTAAAAATTGAGGCCAAGTAATCAGTTTTCCCCCTTTATTAGGTTAAAATGAAAGCTAAGTCAGGTTAAGTGATTGAAAGCTTACGTTCCTGACTCACTTCTTTCCCAGGTTATCAGCCACACAGAATGCTCTGAAATTATTTCTGATGCGATTAAAACCCAAATGACCATACTCAGCAGGATAGTATCCAAGTTCAACGACAGTACACTGAATGCCCTTTGAGTAAAGGGAAAGTTACAGTACTTGGTTGAAGAAAGCATTCTTATTTCCTACTTTCCTCGTTTCTTTTTCGTAACCCACATGCACTAAAATCATGTCCGTTCTGTGGGTGGGTTTTGCAGATTTATATTCTATCTCCATTATCATCTCCTCTAGCAATTTTCATAGCCCTACCCTGCATCTGAGAGGTCACAAAGCTGCTGTGTCCATAAACTGATGTCCCCAACAGCTGGACCAGGGAGCCCAGGAAGGCTGAGGCATTTAGGCCGGGTCAGCTGAGTCTTCAGTGGCTCCTTCAAGGGCCAGGCTGCTGAACTGGCGGCCTCACCTGGCAAAACCTGAGGGCACCTGAGCTGTGGCGCAGGGCTCTCTATCTGGACTCTCAGCAGTTTCCTAACTGCCTCAAAAACCTCTTTAAGGATGAGAACTTTAGTCTTGATTCTGAAAGTGATTTAAGTTTACTTTCTAACATCTAACCTCCCTGGCATTTTACTTATTTCTGAATTTATGGAACCCAGCTCACTTTAGAATCCAAACTCACTGAACTCCCACTGGCCCATCCCAAATGGAAGGAAGAGGAACGTCTCCTCCCTGAGTAGAAACCAAGTTCTAGAGGAGCCAGGCAGACAAGCCCATTCCAAAGGGCAGGCCAGCGTTTAAACTCACTTCCTTCCCCGCATCAAGAAAATGAGAACAGAGAACAAAAATCTCTACGTGCTCAAAGACCGAGCAGCAACTGACAATCGAGTCTGGTGGCGGCTCTAACACCAGCTGTACTGTGACACTCCTATTCTGTTCTATACAACACAGAGCATTATATTTCCATAACTTCTGGAAAGCTCCTATTTGAAAGAGCTTGAAAGTGGGACTAATTCTATCTTTTACTCTGCTTAAATTTTTTGAGTCAATCAAAATGACTTGAAAAGCAGAGATGATTTAAAATTAATCAACTAAAAAATAATTTACATGACTCAATATATTTTAAGTAATGCAACCTGAAAAATACCAAATTTTCTCACAGAAACATTCTTAAACTGGGATTCATTAAGTTTGACCCAAGCACAGAAAGCTTATTTTTCTATGGATGAAAGGGCACGTTCAAAAGAACCATTAATTTTAGGAAAACTGATGGACCCAGCTGGTTGAAATTTCACTGGAAGGGCCTGATGCCAAATATTTCAGGCTTATTAACTTAAAACTGATTTTCTTTTTAAATTAACAGTCAGAATTTCATGTAATTTGTACAATCTGGACCCCAGAACTGGAATATTTGGTATAGCTAAACTTTTATTCTGTAGCATATGCAGAATGAGCACTGTGAATTGCAAATAAAGACACCAAGAAAACTAACACAACATTCTCCTGCCAATAAAGAACCACAGTCCCCAAGTAAACAAGCAGGGCAAAGAACTGAATCACTGTTACTCCATTACCTACTTTTCACCCATTTAAGTTTAATTAAGTCCACATATAAATGTTTCCCTCCATCTGATTGATCTTACTTCTTAAAGAGAAAACAAAACCAGGTATTTTAAACCAATGGCTACCAAACCAACCCTGCTACCATGAGATCTGAGGCAAGACTTCTCCACTACCAGGCCCGTATTAGCAACTAAAAACATTTATAGTGTCTGGGCAGGAAAAATAGACAAGACAGCTCGCCCTGCAGACACAGGTGCTCCTGTGTATGCAGATGTGTACCTGGGAGACCTCCAGTGTGGGGCCAGGAAGAGTGGGAGGTGGCTGCTGGGACCATCCCACTTAGTGCAGGTCACCCATAAACTGATGGCTCTGGGCCAAGGCCACACTGGAGTTAGGTCTGTGCTGCCACGTTACCTTTGATAGTGTCTTCTATTAATGTTTACAGCTTTCAAATAAACTGGTGAATGACAAGCACCTGCCCTGTGGCTTGGACCCTTTGATTTTAACAGGAGTCCAGGATGTTCATTTCAATTTATCCCCAGGTGACTATATTGATTCTACAGCTCGACAGTTCCAAAATTTTAGTTATTTGAGCTTTCCAATGATATTACTATATATCCTGTTCTCTATCCCTAAGTAAATACAATATTTTCAAAACTTAGTTTACCAATGCAAGAAGAAATTGGCTATATCTCCTGAATGCCCAGTTTTGATCTATTTCCCCAGTGCATTAACTTGTGAAGCTGGGGATATCTACATACAGCATTCTGGTTAAAAACAGAGCGAGCACAGGGCTGGTGCTGAGAACTCGGGACCTCACTTGGGAAACATTCTCAGGACAATGCTCTCACAATTAAAGCAGGAAGCTCCGGAATGGAGTTTAAGGGGAAAAAGGTCTAATAAAATCTGAAAACTAATTTCAGGACAATTTTTTTTTAAGTGAGAGGAACTTTCAAATACTGTTGGTCTCAGAGGGGAGGGCACAGCTCCCCGTTTAACTCCCGGTCTCCTCCCGGGACAATGGTGAAGGTCAAGGGAGAAAGAGCAGCAGCTCCGAGCTACGTAAAGGGTGCCCTTTGCTGTCGTCTTTTTCCTTCTTAAGGAAGTGGGCGGGAGTCCAACTCTCTCACAGGTTTCCATGGGGTCAGTGGGACAAAAGCTCGTGACACTTCTAGTGGCAGCGGTCCTTGACTCTACTCGCGGCAGACCAGGTGGAGTGGACGCTGAGCTCTGACACGCAAGCCCAGGGAACCAGGGAAGGAACTTGTATGAACTTACAGCGCAAACCGTCAGCAGACTGGGAAGAGTTTTGAGGGTTACGGTAAATGTTCAAGAGGGCAATGGTCTGAAATACAAAACGCAACAACTTTATATTATGGAAAATTAAATGTAAACACTTAACCGGTTTCCTGTGGCGATCGCTTCAGTCAAGACTCAGTGCTGAAAAAAAGCAAGTTATTTCTTTCGAGGCAGAGATGTTTTCTTAGCTGATGGCGGTCTCGGAGCACCCTAGCTCTGCGATGCAGAGATCCCATGATATGCCAGTATTGTATTTCCGTTCACAGAGCGCAAACATTCTCCATTTCAAAGTTCCAAGCCAGGTCAGAACATAGGTAACTAGGCAGGCTACTACCAAAACATTCTTAGAAAAACTTTTAATGGACAACTGAGAGAGAAAAAGTGCCCATGTGAACTGATGACACAATCACTGTGTTAGAGAAATACAATAATTACATATCATGAAATCTCCATTTCCTAGAGAAAAAATCATAATGTTGAAATAAAACCCACACTTATTGGGCAACTTACCTTACTGATTCCTACATATTCCTAAGATTATTAATTTTACAGAAAGAACTTAATAAATGCCAGGAGTTCAGTCACTGCAAAGACCAATGACCGGCTGATAATGCTCAAATGTCACATGGACAGGTCCCCTCTTGTTAACAAATGTCAATCAAAGGAAGAGACCCGGCCAGCGACCTTCCCTAGGACAGCCTCCTGAACGCAGCCAAGTATCAAGTTCTTGCTGTAAACGCCAAGGACTTTCACCACCTTGTCCTGTTTGCAACAGCTCTATGTCAGCAGCTCAGAAGCCAACATTATTTGTCTCAATTAAGAGTGGGCTCTTTAACACCATTGTCTTAAAAAAATTTCTCCAACTGTGGGACTTACAGTGTGAGCCGTCAGCCGTCTGTGCACTGTTTTGGGGATTACGATAGATGTTTTGAATCAAGATGGTCTGCGGGGAAAAAAAAATAAAAAGGGGAATTCTACTGGCTGCTGTGCATATATTAGACAATTGCAAAGAGACAACTTGTTTGCAAATGGCTCAACGCTTGTTTGTTTCCCACAAGTCAGACTATTGTCTTCTGAAGAATATACCCAAACCATCATATTATGAAAACAGAGTGTGAGCAGTGACTTAGGTCAAGTCAGCCAGCAACCAAGAAAAAATTGTAATTGCTACTTTGAGTAGTCCCACATTATGAAAGTGTTTTAATGCAAGATAAATAGAATGTTAGCATTTTCCTATACTTCAAGCTAGCAGACACTAGGATGTTGAAAAATTTACATTATCATATTCCCCATACAAAATTCTTTTTAAAAAACCAAATGTATAACCCCAACCGTATGCAGTCCATTCAGCTCTCTGGTCTCGTAGGAAACAGGCACACCAAATGGCTTTCCTAACGGTCATGGATACCTATCAGATTAACATTTTCTTGGTGGGATCTCTGTTTACATAATACAATAGCTTAAAACATTTGCTCTTTTCCAATCCTTCTTTTAAGGGGATAAAATCCTTTTTAGCCCTTCTGCTTTAAACTGGATCAGGCAGACTTGAAACCTTACATTGTACCGTTCTTCTTAAAATCAAGTTGTCTGAAAAAACAAACCATGTTTAAGTTAGTAGACTAATAAATTACATGAATCTTAATGTCCACATCACTGTAAGAAGCGTAAAAAGAAACCCACACTGAATTATGTTACATATTTACAAGCTGAACCAATAAAACACGATTTAGAAAAATAAATGTTCAGTTTCAACAACGTGACCAAATCAGTTTTGTAAGTGGTTTTACAGAACCAGCCAGTTCCTTTTCTAGCTACGTTTAAAGGAGAGAGGTTGGGTAAACACTCCCCAGTCAAAGGTCTGCTGCTGGGAAGCTCACTAGCAATAACTCCCAACAGCAGACATGTAACCCACAGACCCTCCGCTCAAGGCCTGGCATCTTCCCCCAGCCACAGAGCACTGCCCTGAGTCTACTTATCTCGGGCATATTTCCCAAAGCCGACTCAGTATTTTCAACTGGAATTACAAAGCGTGACAGTTCTGATGGAAAGCAAGACTGAGCCCAATTATTCAACAGAATTCATTTTAAGTTTCACAGAGGTAACTTGGCTGTTTTACCTAAAATCATCCAACCAAATCAAATCAAAACCCTCAAGTTAACACATACAAGTGACCAACCCCCCCCCCAAACGTTAATGGAATTATTGCCCTGTTTTGATCCAAAGTGCCCAAATTAACTTGACATTAACATTCTGAGGTAATCAATGATTCAGAAAGAAACAAACCAGGTGTCTCTGGGTGGCTTAAAAAAGCTGTGTAATAGGGAACAATTTCTCTCTCAGCCCAACACTTGGTACATCTATAAGTAACCCTCCAAAATAAAAAAACTCAGTGGACACTTGAGATGCTCAGTTACTGCCCAATTTATGGCTAGTGGCAAAATTCAGTTATAAACCAAAGCACTTAAAAAAATTAGAACAGAAAATTTAAAGCAAATTCTCCAGTATTCTGAAAGTTGAGATATGCTCAAAGCTATTAAAAGATAAATTTTTATTACACTAACTACTTGGGGGAAGGGAAGCCATCACACCCCTCCTTCTAAAAGCAAATTAAATTGTGGGGTTTTCTAAGGGCTTAAATGAGAAAATGCTAATGTCTCTTTCTTACACCAATTGGCTGCTTTTCCTAAACACTTAAACATATGAATAGAAAGATGTGAGCTCAAAGCAGAGTCTGGCAGCTTCCAGGGGTAGACACAATAGTTACCCAATACTAATATAATAAAATAGCAATATAGGAAAATCGAAGCTGCATGTTCAGATTTCATGGGCAGTCATGAGGAAGTCAACAACCCTCAGCCTGCAAAGGCTGTAGTACAAGTTTCCCAAATTCCAAACATTCTGGTAAACATGGATGTAAGTTTCTGTTAGTATTAGAGGTGCATTCTCCCTTTAATCCACCAGTGATCACTTATAGGATACAAACTCTTGCCTTTCCTTCAATTAACCAAAAATATTAAAAATCATAACTTTTTGATTAAACCAAATCATAGTAGACCTAAACCCAAGATAACAGGCATTTCTCAATTAACTCAATAGACTGGCTACAAATAATTGAAGTGAACAGTCATCTAATGCTGAGTTTCATTTTTAATATTTCTATGCCATAACGTAACTTGCTATTTCCTTGACTAGCGGTCTAAAAACGGGAACACCAGGACTGGAGAACACGAGTGCATGGCAGTCACCTCAGCCTCTCCTGTTGGGTGGCTCTGTCTGGAGAGCACAGAGCAGAAAGCCCACTCTGCAACTCCTGTGCTGGGAAGAGGCTAAGTCAACGCCGCATGGCTGCCCCCTGGGCCCACATCTGTAAGAGGGCAGGGAGGATGACAAGGCAGCGAGGACCAGTCCTAGCAAACATGCACACACTAAAAACTTCTTTTTAACAGGTTTCTCTAGTGATAAAAACAGGGAATGATGCTCTCTGACCTTCCACTGGGGTGGCTCACCTGCCTGCCTCGTCCTCACTGAAACAAAAGAACACTCTCACTTATGAACACAAATGGAAAATAAAACCACTAGAGAAATAAAGGTCCTCCTTATACACGGAAACTTTTAACTGGCTCTGTAAAGTACATCCAATTTTGCTAATTTATGTGAAAACAGAAAAAAAGAAAAAAACAAACAAACCTGGCTAAAGGTTGGTTTATTGTGCAACCGAGAGCATCTGTCTCCATGACGACATGCTCCAATTTTGAAATAAAATGAACAGTTGACTCTGTAACAGAAAATAAGAGCAGATTATTTTGCTGGGAAGACATCAAACAGATCATCAAACAAAATGATACATGCTATCAAAAGACTTCCCCAAAACATAGGCACATTGTTTTGATGGGTAGCAGGTCCCCCCCTTTCCCGGCAGTATTTTAGGACTACTGAGCTTCAACCCGCCCCTCTGTAACCTCTTCCAATGAAGAGCACTCAAGCCCAATTCCTCCTCATTCAAATCCTCTCCACTTCCAACTTCTTCTGCTCTACTGTTTTCTTATAGATAAAATATTGGTCTAAAACTAAATTCAGCTTAAAACCTATCTGTTCTTTAGTTTTCCACGATGAAATGATTTCTCTTGAGGATACCAACACAGTGTAGTGAGGATCAAAGATCCTGACTCTGCTGCTAGCTGCCTGGGCTTGGGCAAGTCACCCCACCTTTCAGGGTCTTAGGAGGCATCTGTAAAATGAGGAAAATGCCAACCTGGCGCCGTTCTGAGAATCAGCTGTAATGTAGGTGTGAGTCACACACAGTGCTCATTAAATGCATTCACTATCTAAATACAACAGAAAACAAAGTCCAGGGGTTCTCACCCATGATACCAGATCAATAGGAAATTTCCAAAATCAGGTCTGAAGTAAATAATTCTTCTGGTTTCAATATACTGAAAACAAGCTATTGGGGAACTCAACCTGCACCTCTGTCCCTAAGGCAAAGCCCTCCCTTCATACTCGTCAAATACTGGGTGACCCAGATCAAATCAAAACTAGCAATCCAGCCAGCGTGATAGCAATGCCAGGTGGCTTAGCAGTTCTCTGACGAACTAAGAAGTCTACAGATGAGTCCCATTCACATTTAGACTTGCAGAGGTGGGAAGGTTACCCTGTAGGTTTAATTTTTTAGCAAGTGGCATATACTTAGACTGCCAATCAAGAGTTTAGAAAGAAGGACCTCAGTGAAATCTGATGGACCAGGAAGACTGACTAGCCACTGATTTACCATTACGTAGCAATCAAGTTGGAAAAGTCTGAACTTACCAGGGGAGGAAAGTGATTACACTACTATATATATTTGCAACCTTAACTTATAGGTCTTCCTTTAGATTTTCTAACTTGAGTACATAACATTTTATCTTTAGAGAGTCACCTGAAAATGAAGAGCTTATTTTTTAAAAATCTCAGAATGGGCAAAACCCTGCCTGAACAATTAATGCGCAACTACTTCACAATTAAAACAATCCCAGTTCCTATATGTCCAGGGATGGCTTTCACTTGATGCTGTTTACCCCCTCAGTCTCTCTGAAATGAGAATATGAATAACTTAGATTAAATCATCAAGTTTCTTGAATTAAAACCATGGCTTTTACAAAACAGTTTGGATAGGGGGTTATTGGAATAAACCAGTGAAGTTTACTCCACTGTAGGGTAACAGTGAAGACACCGCCTGAGAGTTAAGGGAAAAAACTCCAAAAACAAAACAATTGCACAATACAGAAGTCATGGCCATACTACTATAAGCTAAAGAGTGAAATGAATGATGCATGTTCTTAGCATGCACCGAGAAGCCTCCTTTTCCAGCAGAATCGGCCTCTTCTATCAAGACCCCGTTGCTCTTCTGCAAGCCCAAAGCATCCAGGGCGCACCCCTCTTCCACAGCACGGAGTGCACTTTGATGCCCGTTACTTGAATTACCCTTTCCGTGCACGCCCTCCCTCCCTCCTGGAGAACAGATATAAACTTTATCCATCTCTGAGTCCCCAGAGGCTGCCTTTGGGCTGACACCCAAGCGACTATGATGGTTTTCGTCTTGCGATTTTTGCTAGGAAAAAAATATAACCAACCCCCCCTCTTCCAAACAACACAGGAGATTCTACCAAGTGTAAAAGAAGACATTTTCCAAGATGTATCCTGGAAAACAGAAACAATTTAAAGTGTTTGAAAAAGTGATACTAAAACATTACCTATGACAAACTTACAGGTTTACCATTAAAAACAGACACTCGGGTAACCCTTATGTAGCCCTGAAAAAAAATCCCAAATAATAACTACTTATTCGAAGAGAAGATTAGGCCAAACATTAGCCTTTAGTTTCCACAGTAATTATTATTCCCTAAATGTCTGAGGGCGTTCACTTTAGCCTAAATTTCAATACGCGCAAAGGGGGCACTCAAAAGGCACAACTAAATTTTTAACTTCCAACCTAACAATTGATCAGGGGAGCATGCAACCTGAAGGGGAGGAACAAGGCCACCCGTCCCCTTGCACTGGAACCGCCTCTTGCAGTATTTTAAAGCCTCCGCAGTGAGGACCCTACGTTATCTGACGATGAACGCGGGCGAGATGCGTCCTCGAGCTCGCCCCCCACCTGAGAGACCGAAAGTTGGGGGGATTGTTGAACGTTGACAACTTCAGCACAACTCAGGACGGCTTCCGAGAGCCGCGGGGACGGGGGGCCCACA